AACACACATCACTCCGCTTTTCCTGCACTACTGAGAAAATTTTGATAGTTTGAAATTTCGAGACCTACTACAACAAATTTTGAGTTTTAAAACTCCTTTCGTGAAAAAAAGTGCATATATGATCCTATAGTTCCTTCTCTCTGTCGAAAAGGGGGGGATAACATACTTCCCATTCCCATCGGAAGTTACGCACTTAGTAAGGGCAAGGATGAGAAATTAAAATAGACACAAATACACATACTCATACAAATCTGAATTTGTTTGAGAGTTGATATAGCTTAATTTAAATAAAGTAGTTACATTTATATGCGATTCAGTATGCAGTGACTCAAAATCGGCAATCTAAAATTGGCGAAACTTATTTCATAGCTCATTCAACAAAAATATTCTCTTACCTCATAGAATTGGCGTTATTTATATCCTGGCTCATTCGGCAAGAATATTCCCTGGCCTTACAAATGAAATAATTTTCATCGACCTATTACTGCTTTTTAGATAGTGCTTTTGGCAGAAGTATAATATATTGCAGAAGTACTCTGAACTCGATTACCATTTGCAAACAAACACGACTTTAACATTGTGCAAACTGTAACAATTTGTCTGGATGAAGTAAACTGTTTTAGACGCCTTACCTTGTAGCTTTTAATCAATGAATCAAATCGCTCCTGTTGAACAAAATGCAGACGCAGGTTGTAATTGATGTCAGGAGTGCAGCCGGCGGCTGCTCGTAGCGTTAATCCTAATACTGCTAGCGATTTGATAGGAAGTGACCATGGACGTTGCCCTTGTTTGTGATTGTCCCCTACGTTGCCAAACAAACAACAAAATTGACAATTACACATCAGCGGTGAAGATACTCATTATCTGTGACAAGACAAACAATGTTCATCCCTGACACCTGGAAAACTGGGTCATGGTGGTAGATTCAAATTCGGTGGGGGTAAGTTTTATGGCATCAAAAATGTGCAGGACTTCATCTCTCAAGGATGACTGCTTGCCAGGAAACGATTTTTTTACACAAAACGCTTTTGAAACCAGACTTGAATAAAGGTTATCGAGGCTCTGAAGAAAGTAAATTCCGATACCTCAAGGGAAGTTTTCACAAGAGATGAAGACTAGTCTCCTCTCAAGAACCTTTCTTCAACAGGAAAGAACTTATGTATCCCCAGACTTTGTGTAATAAAAACACAAGCTGCCAGGAAATTGTTGCGCCATCAAAAATGTTGCCAGGTTTGAGGAAATGTTTGATTGATCCGGATGTTCTGTGCCTTACAAGATGACAGAGACAAAGTACATGGGAGCATGCAACCTGTTGAACATCACATTAGCTCAATACTGGACATATTCTTACTATTGCAGATGTCTCTGGAAAATGAGGAAAAATTAGAAAAAGGACCAGAAATCCATCCGAAATATCAATACCTTTTGGGGCTATTTAAAACTTCTACAAAGACACTTTGTCGTTCATAATGTATGTTAGCAGCTATCCATGCAAACTATGAACATATTTTGGCTGTATTTCCAAGCTCGTGGTAGAAACTGTCCTTGAGTAAGCTATTAACATTGCTATTTCATTCTCTTGTTTCACGGGTCTCTTTAATGTTCGTGGCTTTTATCAAAAGAAGCACCGACGTACTGGTCGAATTCCAAACTATATGTACAAATATCTATCCTACCCAGAGAAACTTATCCAATACTGAGCCCAAGTTAAGACCATCCTGTCGGAGAAATCGCGAATCAAAAAATCGATACCGTAGAGAAAAACAAAATCCACATAAGATAGAATTGAACACATTGTGGAATTGAATGAAATTAATGCCTGCCAAGACTTAGGAACGTTTCGCGAAATTAAACAAAAAGGAAACAAAAGTCCGCGGGGAGTCTAAACAACTTGAAGACTTCTTTTCCACCCTCCTCTCTCTCCCCAGTTGCCAAAGACAGAGGGTGGTCCCAAGAAACGTAAACCTGCCAGTTTTACGCTTAAGGGGATTTGCACACTACCCCGAAAAATCGTCTGGTACATTCATCCCGTACAATAATTGCAAAGTGCTGCAATGATGTTACAAAGCACAGACGCAGATTAGTCAGAGCTTAGCGGTACCTGATTTCCCATCTACCAATTACATTTGGTCATCCAACAAATCGGTAGCCACAAGTAAATGGTTCGTGACTGACAGGTTTGCTTGTGTCAATCGCAAAAGAAAATGTTTAATCCATACATCGCTGACATCTCGGTAACTTCTACCACTGAATCTCCAGGGACCTCTGGTTTCAGTCTAGTCTATATCCCGAAGTATGTGCCAACAGGATAACTTCCGCTCATCGGACACGAGGACAGTCGGTGATAAGTGTAAGTGACAGCGTGCATTTGCCAATCACCGGCCAGGCCTAGTTCAACAGTCACTGCTCAGGAACGGCTGGCTAGTTTAAAGGCACAAGCAGCCGCTTTGTCCTTCAGAACGACGACCGTTCATCCTCAGCTTGAAGTAATATCCTGACAGAACAAATTTCAAGCTGAATACCAGATGAGTGTGTATTAATACACTTGTACCCAGAATAGTTCAAGAACTAGTTCTTTTAAGATGTCTATACAATTTGGAAATAATGCTTTCAAAACATTAAGCTCCTTCAGTGTGCCCCTTACAAATGCCTGAAGGTTATTGTAGCTAAAGCTGAAAAACAGTACTCGGGATATGTGCAATTAAGATTATGTTGAATATTGGAATTATAACGGTTCTGTATGGCAGCCATATTTCTGGTAACCGCTTTTGATATGGAGGAATAGCAAAAAGTTCATGTGTTTTCCTGTGGAAGAAAGGTTCTTACCAGAAAAATTGGCCGCTATTCAGAAACCTTGTATTCCTGTAGGCTTTTTTTTCATTGCTTTGGAAAACATGCTGGGCTTATTTTCCAAATAACATATCCCGTAACGTCAAATCCAAAACATTCTGGACCTAATCGTCTTGGATTATGATCCCTGATTGTAAAGTCGTCTGAACTGCGGTAAGTCTTTGCTTTTGTTCGAGTGAAACTCTTTGACCTTCCCTAGCACTTCTCTGGGGTACATTTTTAAAAATCATCACAGAGGGGTTGATGTTAGTTGGATGAATACTGTAAAAGTATTGGTCTTGTTCTTCAATAAATAATGTAAGTTTTCCCACGGGAATTCAAAAACGTCTTTTCCTTTCAAGTTTGTTGGGAGCTTTTACACTTTCAAAAGAATTAAATACATACTAATCAAAACATAGACAAAACAACGACGAAAAGAAACAAGAAGAGGCAAATGTGCTTTCACCACTGCAATATATTTGGTCTGACCTGAAAATCATCTTCAGTGCAGCGTGTGGGGTTTCTTGTTTGCTTGTTTTCGTTTTGGTGTGGCGTTGTTTTGTTCTGTATTTTATGATATATCACCGCAAATACTGTTCCTTGTCAATTAGACATATTTTTTTAAACACACTGCTAGGCCTATCCTTTGTATCATTTTCAGCCTCTGATTGACTCCAGACATCAGGATTTACTTCTTATCCCTAAATTCAAGAAAGACTAGTCGAGGCGAGTGTTTGAAGATTTCCAGCATTTTTTTTTTGTTGTCAGAGTTTTTACAAGTCACAAATGTTTCTGATACAAATCAAGTCGAGTCATAGTAATGTAGTGAGTCGAGTTCTTAGGCAAAATAGTCGAGTCAATTATTTAGCTCAAGTCAATTCTAGTCACAATTATTTGAACGTGATAAGAACAATAGAGAGAGTCAGTGTTAGATTTTCAAAAAAATACCCTGGGTTTCTGCAGATGATCACACCACATCTTCCTATTGATGGCAATACAACATATTACATGAGCATTACAAGCCGGTAATGTAGTCAATGCAAATGTTTCTTTGCAAAGGAGCTTGCTTTTATTGTTTGGACTCAAGTTTTATTAACTTATACTACAGTGGGGTCCTATGATAAGGAACTCGAGTTGGGTTGAGCCATTTACCCATCATGATTTGAGTCAAGTCACTAAAAATGAATCTCGCATGACTCCATTCGAGTCATTGCCTCGAGTCATTTTTAACCTCATAAAAGAGTTAAATACATACTAATCAAAAGATAGACAAAACAACAACGGAAAGAAACAAGCATAGGCAAATGTGCGTTCTTCGCTGCGCTATATTCGGTCCAAGAAAATTTGTTGATGAGCTTGTTGTAAATGTGAACTATTTTGGCTGAGTGGCAATTCAATCCTCGGTCTTCTGAAGATTTTTCCTTGGTACTGGAATTTAGTTTTTCGTTTTTTCCAGCATACGTTTTTATTGAGGTAGGAATATAAAATGAGGGCTCCATCTCTGAAATTTCTATTTCTTGGTCACTTTTCATCTTGCTGAACACACTGTTTTTTGGGGTTTTTTTGTTTCATGCCTTGACAGATTGTGGAGTTTCATTTTTCCTTTTTTGTTTGGTGTGTGTTTGCGCGTTTGTTTTGTTCTTTTTATGTTTTATACGATATACCACCGCAAATACTTAAACGCATTGCTTTCCTTTTTGTCATTTCGAGCCTTTGATTTACTTCAGACTCCGATCCATAGCTTTAATAAAGTCTCATCGAGGTGAGTGTTTTGAAGATTTACAACATTCTTTTGTTGTTGACAGGGTTTTGACAAGTCACAAATGTTTGTGACTCGAATCGATATCGCGAGTAGAGTCATTATGGTGAGTTGAATCTTTAGGCAAAATAGTCCACTCAAGTATTTAGCTTGAGTCAATTCGAGTCACAATTATTTGAACATCTGAAATTTACCCCTGGTTTTCTGCATATGGTCACACCACATCTCACTCTTGACAATGCAGCATATGAGAGCAGCATTAAAAACAGACACTGTAAATCAGTGCAACTATTTCCTGCCAGAGGTTTGCTGTTATTGTAGGGACTCGAGTCTTATAAACGATCACTTGAGTGAAGAATGATGATGAAGAACTCGAGTCGGGTCGAGTCGACTCATTTGCTCGCACAGACTCGAGTCGAGTCACTTCCTCAAGTCATTACAACTCTGGTTGTTTATTAACCTCATAGGACCCAAGCAGTAAATGCTTCCCAAGTGTCCTTTTTTGCACATTTAAAAAAAAAATCCTTTCCTCTCTCTTAAACCTGTTTGAAATCCTTTTGTATGAAGCACATTGACAAGGCATTTTTTGAGCAATTAAAATTGTCTGTAGTTTTCGTCACAGTTGAGGGCGCTCTTGCTGTTATGTTAGCCAGGGAAGATACCGTTCATTTTGTGAAACCAAAATTTGCTTATCGAAAACGTTTATGAGAAAAAGCTACCCATTATGTTACTGTTATGCACATACACAACCACGAATAACCAAGAAATTGAAATGTAGGACAGCAAAATATGACAACTTATTGCAGTTTAATATGCATCTTTCGAGGATGAAAAAGGAAATACTCATTAGTATGAAAGGCACAAATACCCTATAAATAGCGAAACAAAGGGCTAATTTAAACACACAAAAAATGCCTTTTTGACCTTTGCATTCGTTTGGGAATTCGCAAGGATTCTTTTGAGGAGGGGCAATCACTCATTACCAGTGACCTGATGAACCACTAACAATGGAATGGGTCAATTTGTATTTTCCCCATTTTTTTTCTTTCAAGCAAATCGGTGATTTTCACCCCGCCCGTCCCATGATTAAAAATTTAATTCACTTTTTCCCTCTTTTTTTCTGATATTTAAAATTAGATCAGGTTGATCAGCCTGATTATCTTGAAATGAATGAAATAAATACGCAATCTAAAATTAGGACAGCTAAAGAATACAAATAAGAAAAGGAGTCTTTATCTGCACATTGAAGGACAGTAATGACAAAGCCCGCGAAAATAGAATAGCCTGAAAACAAATTGGGTGAGGGCGCTACACAAAAGTCATTAACCAGTGCAGGAGATTTAAAGGGAGCGCTGTCATTCTCCCTTCTCTCTTGTCCTTGACAATTTCAATCATAAAATTGTACTTATTATAATTGTTAACACATATTTACAAAGTCCAATAGCGGATTGTTGTAATTGTTGGCATTTATACAAATGGGACCTTCGGTTTCAATCACTCAACCAGTGTCTGGTATCGTTAGTACCTGTCAATTTAAGTACATGTTTTCTTAACTTTGAGAATTAAGGTTACATAAAAGCCACTAATGAATGAAGCAATTTCTAGCCATGGTACTCAAAGGCACAATGAAGTTTTTCTTCAGATACTTTTTCAAGGAATTAGATTAAATCATACAATACAATTGCATCATTTAAAAGTTACAGTTTTACGATCCACAAAGCTCCAAACCATTTTAAAGTGGTAATTATTTTTAAGCCTGAATTTTCTTCAATGCAACAAAGAAATCAAACAAGATCACACTGATTTAAAAAAAAATATGATTTAATTTAAGGATAGCAAGGAAAAGCCCTGATTGGAACTAATTTACAATGATTAGGGTAAAGAATCAAGAACAAATCTTATTCAAACAAAAATCTTACTGGCGAAAGCTTAGCAGGCACTACAGCTCAGAATTCTGGACTCAACAGATGGCGAAAAACAATTCAGTCTTTGACTGTGCAAAAATAAGCTATGTAGGGGCGAAGATTACTCAGCAACATTTATTTCCATATTGACATCACTTATAACAGGATTACATGTAGATTTCAATAACATGTCATACATAGATAAGTCAGATAATATTAATGTAGCGGCAGCGCTTGCGCGCCCGCTGGGGGCGGACCCTGACGATCCGGAGGGGGGAGACTGGTCTCCCGGTAAGGANCCGGAAGTTTGCTAAACTGGTCTTTCTCGGTCTTTGGACAGCAGCGAACTTCTTCTTTTGCGTCACCACCGAGGTGATCTATTGCTACCGACAACTTCTCGTCCTCAGACAAGCCCAATTGACGGGAATAAGTTTCAAGATCGTCAAGCCACTCAGTCAGGGTCGGGTCCCCAGATTTCCTTGGGCGCCCGTTAAATTTCGAGAGCTTAACCGTCGAGGCCTATTTGATTGTATTTGATTGTATTTGAGCCCTTTTTTGAGCCATGGTTCTAGTCTGAAGTCAACTAAAGTCAAAACGTCAGAGTGACAAACAAACCACGTACGGACCACCAAAAATAACAAGAGAGGCAAAACCTCTTAAAATGCAATCACCAACAGAGCTACCTACTAATACAAGCACTATGGTATCAAAATACATGTGCTGACAAACTGCTGGGCACCCCGGGCAGTTACAAGAAAAATGAGATATACAAGTACTCCAATAAACATGTAACATGTAAGAAAAATGACATTTAAATCAGGAAATTGCCTTAAGAACACGCATAGGCTTTAAAAAAAGGCAGGCACTCACATGTGATTACCCTTACAGTAGAAAGTGCATTTAAGCAAAAAGGTGTTATTACACAATAATAATAACAAACTATAACCACAGCGTGTCTTAACAAAAAGCAGTCTCGTCCCTCATCACACGACGGTATCTGGGGTACAGTAACATCAAGCTCCACATTCATCCAATCCTGTCTACGACGCCAAGAACTTGTAGCGGCAGCGCTTGCGCGCCCGCTGGGGGCGGACCCTGACGATCCGGAGGGGGGCGGGTCTCCCGGTAAGGGATGGATTGGATCAACTTGTAACACAGGTCGTCAAATAATCACCTCCAATTTATTCGTCAATGGAAAGAAAACCCTATAAATTAATACAAAAGCACGAACCCTAATTAATTACATAAGTGCTTTAGTTGATTCATGGACAATAATTAAACAACAATGACATCAATTGCAATGGTATTCTACAATGGCATGAGTGCGTACTGCTTATACATATCACACATAATACATAGAAGCGAATATGCTATTTAAGCTAACAGCACAACCCAAATTTCTATTCACGGTGGCTTTGGGGCTTTATGCAAATGCACTGACCACGTGACGGTACAGCGCGAAGACGATGTACATGTCGAACGTTTATAAGTGACCATAAATGGCAACGTATAATGGATGAAATTACAAAATACCGGCGCTAGGATATGCCAAATACCCCCCAAACCCCGACTCACCCTGACACCACGGGTTGTGAGACCTACAGTGGTCTGCAGGGCCCAGCAACTCCAAGGGAACAGGCTGAAAACTGTCCGAAATGGTCCCGAAATGTTGCGCTGTCTCCACCAA